TTCAGAAATATTAAAAGTTTCAAAATCAAAACCCCTACTTCAAGTTCGACGAACCAATCGACGTAAAGAAATCACATTGTTTCACCACGTCTCACAGTATCACCTATACACAGTAAAATAAGATGGGATTGCAACTCAAAGACAAAATAGCTAAGTATTAATCCATAACATGATCTGACCTATAGGATAAGTAAATATCATACTATATCATCTTCCCAGCATCCTCATCTCGTATATATCTTATTGAGTCAGAGTACAATTACCCTATTTCAATTGCTTAATTATTAATGTGAAATGGCCCAATGATCATAAAACAGCAACACATACTGAACCGCACCACACAACATTGTTAGAATCTAATTGGATTCTAATAAACAAGGGATGAGTAAAGACTTGTGCAACAAGTCCTTATGTACCGTGAAACACAAAGGAAAGTCTCTTTATTTCCTTTAATTCTTTAATTTGTCATTAATTGTTTCTTTTATATAGGAAATTATCTTATTAATTAAAAAGAGTTATTCTTAACTTAATAACTGTGTAGAAGTCTTGTGAAAGAAGAATTCTTTCTTTCCATATATTTCACACAGACGTGTAAGAATCAAGAGAAGGAAAAATTCCTTTTTATATTTTATATATTGTCATTAACTGGTTTCTTTAATTGATATCGATATTAGTTTAATATTGAAATTAGATTAGGATGGAAAATCTTGTGATAAGGCATGAGCTTTGCAATTCCATATTTAATATACCTCTCGTACGTAACTCCTAATAGGCCTCGTTTCTTGTTCAGGGAATTTGCAATCTCACAACTATATAAAGGAGAACTTTAGACGTCTGTGTGTGTGTCTTTTTTAGAGAAAAAATATTTCTCTTTTCTTTGTTGCTCCTACGGTGACTTTTTATCGAGAGAATTTTTTCTGAGAAAATATTTTTTTTCTCTCGTTTTTATTGCTCCATCGTGATACGTGATTTCCATAGAAAATATATCGGCTTCAAGGTTTTGTTGGTGAAGACACCAAGATTCAAGGATTATCACAAGTTGGCTTCTTCTATACAAAAAGAAAATCGGTTCTTCGAGAGAGGGGCTTAAACAGATCTTGGGAGGAGATCGATCTGCCAACCGAAAGGATTCAGCGTTGAAGGTAGTTCAACCGTGCGGAGCAAAGGACGTGTTGCAAAGTGAAGATTTTTATCTCAGTGTAGTATACAAGAACGGCGTCAACAAAGATGGAGTCTTTGTATTTTAATTCGTAAAACTAAAGATTAGCAAATTTCATTTTTCTCGTGGATGTAGGGTACAATTGTATCCGAACCACATTAAAATTCCAACACACACACACACATACACACGTCACCTGCAAGCACACAACATCCATGAGACATACAAAAATAATAGGCATAGTTAATTGTATAAGAAAATACCTCTATTAGAAAATTCAAATTCATCAATTCATAGGCGAATTGAATGATTTTACAGTTGATTTGCCGTGCACTTTTCTTCATTGTTTCTCAACCATAAAAAAGGGAAAACCGCCATCTTGTAGAAGGAGGAGTAGAGGCATATGATAACAGGCGACATAATGAAATAACGTAAGATTAGGGTTTTTATTAAAACAAAACCGAGCAACTACTTTCTTTTTTTTCTATTTTTCGGTTCTACCAAACCCATTCCTTAAATTAGGGTTTCTATCCCACTTAAACTATATTTAAATAGATAAATAAGTCCTATAATGCTATAATAATAAAATAAATAATAACAAACCATTAATAAATAATAAAATAAAAACAATAATTTCACGGTCATTAATAGCACTCCCCTTCTAACGGAATCGTTTAAGAAAACTAACATTAAAGGGGACACGGTGATTTGGCGACTGATTTGCACAACTTTGTTGCACAACTTAGCTATATTAAGAAGTAAAAATTTAGTTAAAATACAATGAAGAAAAAACTAAAACAAGAATACATGCGGTTCCCACATCATATACATAACTTACACAAACAACTTAGTTTCACAGCTTAGACAACTTAGTTACAAAACTTTTTTGCATAGATTAGTTAAATAAGCTGAAGAAAAAAAAAATTAAATCTCTGGTGCGTATATCACCACCAACATTGCCATCACCATCACCATCTCCTAACAATTCTTGTGATTTTTTCGGTTTGGTTTCCATGATTTTTTTCGGTTCATTAAGTAAGTTTTAAACTGAAATTTGGATTGAATTTGGATTAATAATCCATTTTTTATTTTGTTTAATCTTTTGTCCCACCTTCAGCGGAAAAAAAACCCCTATCGTCAGAATTTTCTGAAAGATAACTATCTCGGTTTCGTATAGAAATTTATATAGAATCTTGGAAAAAGACTTTCCTTCCTAAGAAAAGACACAGTGTCTTTGAAATATGATCCTACAGGAGATGAGTGAGTGTAACCAAAATCGTATGTGTCTGCGTGTGTTTGGTTGCGTATGAGCATGTGTAGGTGTGTAGTTTTGTGTGTGCGTCTGCGTGTGTGCCAGAGCTTCTCAACGATGACATCGGTGGGGAGTATGGATGGAGCAGCCTAAATGCAATGGTGGTTGGACGAGATTTGACGAAGTGTGGGGAATCTGAAGAACATACGATTTTTAGCAAATTGTAAAAGTTGGGCTATCCTGATATGAAAAATAATTAGAGTTCAGGATTGTTTAACACAATGAGAAAACTAATAGTAGACACCTAAATTTTAATATAATTTATTTTATATTAAAATTGAATTCCAAGATTATAATTTGTCTTGCAAAATAATTCATGGAAATATCAATTAATCTTTAGTCAATAGGATTATTTCTTCTCTTTCAAGTTATAAGATATAATTATCAATTAATTATTGACCAATAGGATTATTTCTTCTCTTCCAAGTTATAAGAGATAAATATGAATTTAAAGAGAGTCAATCAAATTGTGCCACGTCATCAAAGAAGGTTATCAATGACTCTTATTTTACCTCTATAAATAGGGACCCTCCCTACACAATTCAAGACATAACTCAAGAAGGAGAAAAATCGTAGGAGAAAATTCTCTCTACAACATCTCAAGCGTTCTTCAACAAATCAAGATCGAAGGAAGATTGAAGGGTCAAATCCATCTAGAACTACAAGATCTTCAAGTCAAAGCTCGGCACAGTTCAACATTCGATCTGAAATTCGAGTCGCAAGAGCCTCGGAAAACGTTATTCAATTTCAAAATCAAATCCGGAGAAGATCAAGTCAACGACCCGACTTCGAATTTTCAAAGTCAACTATATATTGTTCTTGAGAGAAGAATCCGAGGATTAAATTAGAGTTTGTGACCCGATGTATTTATTTGAATTCAATAAAATTATTTTTGTGCAAGTTTTTATTATTTGTCTAAATCGCAGATAAGAATTTGTTGCTACAAATTTTGGCATGCCCGGTGGGACATCTCTACCTCTTATCTCTTCTCTCTCTCGAAGATCCTCGAAGTGTTGCAGTAGGTGCTCTACGTTCGCAATGAAGAGTGCTACTTTGGATCCATCAAGTGTGGGCATAGTTACAAGAAGTATGGGTAAGAAGCTGCAAGCATTTTCCGAGACTAGCTCGACGCCCCAAACTATTATTGAGAAAGGCTTAATACGAGCGTAAACTATCTATATGTCCAAGTTCATATTTAGGCTCCTTAATACGAGCGTAAATTATCTACAAATTTAAGTCAAATGCTTCTTCAATATCAGTTTAAACTGCATATGTTTCTCCATGTCCACACGAGTATAAAATGTGCACAACATCCCTCGAAATAATATATTTTGAACTACATTATGACTTGATCCCTTACAGAGTACGGCGGACCACTCATCACGGACCACCCCGGATTGTGACTCCCTCACCGAAGACCATCTAGGAAACCATTCCCACTCCACCGGCGACCACTACACAAAAAAAAATGTATGTTTTTCCTTCAAGAAACCATGAAAACACAATTTAAATTTATCTTAATTCGTCCAAAAATAAAATTAACATATAAAGATAGAATATTTCGTAGATCGAATATGTAAATATTTTCTCCAGAGGTATGGCCAAATTACAAAAAAAAAAAAAAAAAAACAAAAAAACGCCTCTTGTTTGGGGAATTACAGTCAACCCTCCTTTTAAATATTTTTATATAAAATTTATGTAATTCGGTTATTTACCGAATCAAATCGTATATTCAGTTCTGTCAACAACAGTATGAAATGTTGGCGTACTAAAATTTTGAAGGGATATTTTGGTAAGATAATAAATAGTAGAGGGGTGGCTATAATAAATAAAGATTTTGTAATTTGACCACAAGTAAGGAGGTGACCGTAATTTTCCCAACAATTAATAACTATTTTTTCATACTTAAAAAATGACTACCCAAAAATATCAAAATGTAACTAGCTAAGAGCTAACTTTTTTTTTAGTATCTAATTTATTCACTGTTAGATATATATGGCCTAAATTCTTATTTCAACTACCAAACTTAAATTTATTGAAGATAATTGACTTTGATAGAGTTTGTTCTGCGAAATTGCATCGATTTTAAAAAATAATATATACTCATTATTCATTAATAAATATTGTCAATTTCTGCATGGTTTGATAGCTTAATTTTTTATTTTATTTTTTTCTGAACAACGTCTGTCACATATATATATATATATATATTATCTAGTAATTTGTGTCCACCTAACGCGTAATTTATGATTTAATTTGTCGTCGTTTGGTAATTTACGCAATTTGACAAAAGAAAGTCACAAAAATCTAGTAGGATGAATCCGACATTCCAACAGGCTTCTTTGATTGTTTAAGCTTGGAAAATGCAAGTTGGCTGCTAAATCCAAACTACTACCAATTATTGAAATAATACAAGAAATAATTATACTACCTACCATTGTTACTAAGTATGAGAGATAACAACATATAAGAAATTACTACAACATAGAAGAAGAACACAATAACATATAATTAAGCTATTCTTCAAAGATGGTGAGCTTGCATAGAAATCAGCTTGAGGAACTAAAAGAGTTGGGCTTGGAAGCCCCAAGCGAACTCAAAGTTATCTCGATCGTTGGTATGGCTGGCATCGGTAAGACTACTCTTGTTCAAGAATTTTATCATGACCCACTTGCTATCGAATATTTCGATCATCGTTTATTTCTCACAATCGGCCCGCAATATAAGTTGAGAGAAATTCTTTTAAGCGCTTTCAATCAATTGGGCGGCCACCACTCCGTTGGTGAAAAAATTCATATATCGCAATTAGCCGATTACATACAAAAGTCTTTACAAGATTCAACATACCTAATTGTGCTCGACGATGTGTGGAACACTCAAGCGTGGGATATGCTAAAACATTGCTTTCCATCTAGAAGAAGATATAGTCGAATAATTGTCACAACTCAAATACTAGGTCTAGCTCTTTATATTTCGGGTCACATTAATATCGAAATACCGTTGCTAAACGATGACGAGAGTTGGAATCTACTTCGGCGGATGGTGTTTGATAACCAAGAGGAGTGCAGTCGTCAGCTCGAGAAAATTGGGAGGAAGATTGCAAAGAACTGCGAAGGACTCCCTTTCGCGATTACCGAAGTTGCAAAGATTCTTCGTAAGATTGAGAAGACGGTCGAAGAATGGGAAATTCAAGCGGATAAAGAAGATCCACTCACCATCACACTAAACGAAGACACGCCTTTGTCAAAGGCGATATCTTTGAGTTATACAAGGTTGCCTCCACATCTAAAGCTATGCTTTCTGTATATGGGTGTTTTCCCAAAAGGGTACGCGGTTCCCATCTCGCAACTCATCCAACTATGGGTTTCCGAGGGGTTATTCGAACCACGAATGTCTATGAGCTTGGAAGAAACCATGGGAGAGTACTTGCGTAAACTCATCCAACGAAACGTTGTTTTGAATAACAAGGTGAGCTCTATAGATATAGAGACAACTAAAACATGTAGACTCCACTTTACCTTTCGGAGCCTATGCGTCAACGAAGCTAAAAACGAGAAGTTCTTCCACGTCATAAAAAAGATCACCGACGTTTCTGAAGAGAGCATAAATAGCCAGAGGCGGCTCTGCATACACAACAACGTTGTTCTTGCCTTCGAACAAGTGCACAAACATATGGAATCGGTTAAAGATGCATGTTCTCTTCTTTGTTTCGGCCCGAAGCAAAAGTATCCTATAGATTTGTACTTACGATTTAAATTGCTCAAGATACTAGACGCGGTTTCCATCCGATTCTACGATTTCCCAGAGGAAATACTCGAGTTACTTCAGTTGAGCTATCTTTCGATCACATGCGATGGAGATGAGATTCCACCTTCCATATCAAATCTTCAAAACCTCGAAGTGTTGATCGTCCATCGACATCATATAGTGAAATCGTCGCCCGATTCTCCCGTTTATCTGCCCGAGGAAATTTGGAAGATGCATAAAATCAAACACCTGGAGTGCGTGGGGATGGACCTTCCGGAACCTTCTTCACTAGATGATTCTCTTACCCTAGAGAAGCTTTCCACACTTTCAGGGGTGAGTGCCCGAAGCTGTACGGTGAAAATTCTTTCGAGAATCCCAAACCTAAAGAAAGTCGGAATCCAAATCGAATCGGAGCAGGGGTCGTCGTTCGAAACATTCACTTTCCTCGACGAAGATCACTTCGCCTCTCTCTACGAAAAATTCGAGTCGTTCAAATGCGTCGTTGTGAACCCTAGAATTAGCCCTAGTCACCGATTCGCCCCTTCGATTCCGAATTTTCCCGCCAAAATTAGGAAGATAACGCTGAGCGGGTGCGGATTTCCATGGGAGTGCATGAGGGCGATTGCGTCGCTGCCGAACCTCGTATCTCTGAAACTGCGATGGCACGCTTTTTCCGGCCGTGAGTGGAAAACCGGCGACGGCGAATTCCCGAAGCTCGAGTACCTCCTGCTCGAAGATTTGGATCTGCAGAAATGGGAAGTCAAATACAACCACTTTCCGCAGCTGCTGCGTCTGAATGTTCGGCACTGCTACAGATTGGAAAAACTCCCGCGAGGTTTCGAATCCAATGCGGCCCTTGTGGTGGAGGTGGACGATTGCCGGAGATTCGCCACCAAGCAATTGGAAGAAGATATATTTAGGTTCAACAAATATCACCTACAAATTGCGGTCAATTTTTCATGGGATGATAAGAAGAAGATCAATCACGACCTCTGAAATTCAAGGGTAATCATTAATCAAGAATCAAGATTATTTATGCTTTTTTCTTTATTTCTTATGAAATGTATCAATATATATATATATACATAACCACTCATTATTTGCTATCTGTTGTTGATTAATGTTCTGCCTAATTAACAGTTTAATTGCATGCAAATGCAATTAGTACAAGTTAATATCAAGTGGAGGAGTGGGGAGAAGAACATTGTCCAATAATGCTTGATGAATGTTGATTTTGCAGCTATTGTTTATTCAGGTGAAAAGTTGATTGTCTAGTTCTTGAATATAGTCTTTAATTTGATGTAAAATGATTGTTGTGAAATGTGAATTATATTAATTGTGATGTAATGTAATGGTGCAAGGCCCATTGCTTGTGATTTCTTTTTTTTTTCTTTTTTTTTTTTTTTGATTTTTTTTGGCTTATTTTTTCTTTTTGAGAACAAAAGTGAAACTATTTTATTAGACAAATGATGTCAAGTGAATTGGAAGATGATCATCTTGGTAATAATCATCTCCATGAAGATGGGCAACTGTGTGGGCAATGCAGTTTCCACTTCGTTTCACAAAAAAAAATATACAAGAATTAAAATAATTAACAAAGAGACGACAATCTTCAATCAGAGTGCCAAAAGACGTCAAATTGCTCAGAACTTTTAAGTGCATTAATAACTTGCAAACAATCCCCTTCAACGATAATTTTTTCCCATTCCTTTTCTCGAGCTATCATAAGAGCATGTAACGCCGCTCTTGCTTCGCCATCGACAGGTCTCGGTTGGCCGAGAAATTTCCGTACGTTCCACCACACACACTCCCCAGTTGAGTTTCAGGCCACCGCCGCCACTTTATAAAACTTTTTTTTTCCTGTCGGAAACTCCACATCAAAATTCACTTTAACAGTACTCTCGTTGGGAGAACACCAAATTACATTTACCTCTCTTGCTAAGTTTTACAAAATTATGGGCCTGTCTATGTGATGTTCTGTCAAATAATTCTTCCCCCAAGAAATCAGGTCTGATACCACTGTGTTAGGCGACTTATGCACTTCTTGGTTTCTAATATACCATGCTTTCCAACTGATGACAATTGCAAGGTTCAGATTTTCCTTATTCAATGTCTGGTGAAGATGTTGAAACCACTCCCAAAAGCTATTGTATTGTCCAACCTTATCGAGTTTATTGAAAGGAGGTGTTGCCCATACTTTATTCATCCCACTGCAGTGACCAAGCACATGCAAAATTGATTCTTGAGGTGAACGACATCGTCGACACGACGGGCTAGTGCTTATTTTCCTCCGAAAAAACTCCTCATTTGTCGGTAGAATACCATTACAAGGCCTCCATAAAAAGATTCTAATTTTGGGTGGAAGCTTTAAATTCCAAAAAGAGTAAAAAGCAGTTTGCCCCTTAAACTAAGGGTCGATTTGCACTTTACCCCCTAAACAAAAAAAAAATTGCACGTATTTACCTGAACTCGTTAATTCGTTGCACTGTGCCCCCCTAAACTCAATTTTCCGGCAATTTTAACCGGAATATTAAAACATGTGCTTTGCACGTGAGATTTTGAGGCGTTTATCCTTGCGCTAGCGCTAGTCAAGTATATTTGGATTTTGATAGGAAGTTGAAAAGGAGGAAGATTTGAATCCTTTTCCCCTCTTAAGGTAGGGAACTCCGGGGGATGAGGACAGTAAGAAGGATTTTTGACTAGGTCTTGAAGTAAAGTGTGTGTTTGGAAACGGGACATCGTTCTTTCGAGTCCGGAGATTCGACGCACAAGCTCATTTCGTTGAGCCAGGAGAACAAGAGGTTAGTTGATATCGAGGGGTCTATCTATGATGACGATGTTGCTTGCAAGGAAGAGGTTTTTTGAATAGTAAGCCGACGAAGGCAAATTCTTGCTGATTCGGAGAGCTATACTCCTAAAGTCAAGACCGATGGGAGGTGCGACGGTTGTTTACAAAGTCCCTTCACTTGCATCTTTAATATTAAATACAAATAAATATTCAAAAAAGAAAAGAAAAAAAGACAAAAAAAAAATTAAAAATTTTCCGGCGACCACCACTCCTCCTCCTTTCAAGGATATAGCTTCGTCGGCGAGCCAGGTAACATTCTCCGGCGAAATAATAACATCACCATCCATCTCCGATAATTGGTCCACTACATCTCCTCGGCGGCCCAAATTCAGTTCAAATAAAATGTCTTCAAATCCTATTTTGCTCATAGATCCATAGAAGATGGGGATGAGGTTAGGATCTTTGACGTCGGAGGAGCAGAGGCAGAGATGGTGATTTCTTAAAAAGAAAAATTGGGGAATATTTGTTTTATACTGCTATGGTCGAACACTCGGTCGGCGGACTAAGGATGAAACGAGGTAGGTGACGGCGGCGCGTTGAATTTAGTTTAGAGGTGGAATCAAGGTGGGGAAGGTGGAGGTGGAGATGATTTGCAGGAGATGGTGATATCTTAAAAAGAAATTGGGGAATATTTGTTTTATACTTCTATGATCGAAGACTCGATCGGCAAACGAAGGAGGAAACGGGGCGAGTAATGGCGGCGGCGGGTTGGAAATAATGATTTGCCGGGGTTGCGAGAGAGTGGAGAACGGTGCTCGCGGGGCATGTGGAGTGTTTGAGGATGAAGAGAATGGCATGGCGGCCGGTGGCTGATGGATGGTGGTGGCACGGTGGGCGAAGGGAAGAAGAAGACACAATATATATTTTTTTTTTTTATTGTTTTTTTTTATTCTTTTGTTTTTTAAAGATTAATTAATATTTAATATACAGCAGGTAAGTGAATGGATGAATATACCCCTACAAATGTCACGTGCAAGGCACATGTTTTAACTTTCCGGACAAAATTGCCGGAAAATTGAGTTCAGGGGACACCGTGCAATGAATTAACGAGTTTAGGTAAAAACGTGCAAATTTTTTTTGTTTGGGGGTAAAGTGAATCGACCCTTAGTTGAGGGGGCAAACTGCTTTTTAATCTTCCAAATAACGTTCAATGGTTTCGTTGTCTAACCACTCCCAATGCTATCCACCGTGCCATTTGTGCGTAGCAATGCAACACGTGTGTTGTGGTAGCATGTTCGTACACTAAACTTCCCGTTCCGAGAATAATGCCACACCGTTCGATCTTGTGCTCCGAGATTTCCAATAGGAACTTCCAAAATTCTCTCTTTGTCGATCGGCCAAAACACATCATTAATAAGTTGTTCGTTCCAATTTTTCGTAGAATTGTCTATCAAATCTACTACTTGGTCTGGGAAGGACGAATGCAACGATCTCTTCATTATAACCTTGCAAGCTCCATCCGTTTCAAGCCACGAATCCCCCCAGCATGCCATTCTCAATTCTCTTTCTTAAACCAATTTCCATAAAAGGTTTTGCGTAAACAATGTTCCTCCAAGTGGCCGAGGGTCGCACCCCATTTGAAGCTCTAAAAAAATCTGTTCACGGGAAGTACCGTGCGTTAAGTAGTCTTCATAACAAGGAGTCTGGGCATGTAATAATTCTCCAACGCTGTTTTGTGAGTAAAGCGTTAAAACTCGTAAGGTCTTTTAACCCCATACCTCCTGAATTATTTGGGTTCACACAGGCGATTCCACGACATCCAACATATGTTCTTGTTAACGCCATCGCCCCACCAGAAACGTCGAATTGCTGCCTCTATATCACGAATCAAGGAATAGGGAAGAACGAAACATCTCATTACGTAGGACAGAATGGATCGCAAAACTGCTTTAATTAAAGGGGTAATGGCAAATAGGTCCATGACAAGGGCACTTAATTAAAAGAGGGACATCCAACTATTTTGTCTTTCAAATAAATCCAGCACATTTAAACTTATTTGCAAATAAGGAAAATCCTTCTATATATACCAAAATTACCCCCAATTCATTGAAACCCAATTTAACTCCAATTTCAAGATTTACACCTCAATTTAGCCCAATTTCATCAATTAACTAATTTTAACCCTAATTTCAATTTTGACCCCAATTGTAAGCCTAATTCTTATCAATTCCCCCCATTATGCTCTAACTTCCTGAATATTACACATTGACCCCGGATTTAAACAAATATATCACATTAACCCCCCAAATTTTTTTTTTCATAAAATATTTTTTTTTCTGAAATGTTTTTTTTCCGGCCAGATTCCGGCGTTGACCGCCGGAGACCGGCGGTCTCCGGCGTTGACTTTTTTTTTTTTTTATAATTTTGTTTTTTCTTTTTTTTTAATTAATATTATTGTCTTGGCTGCTAAATTACTGTCTCCGGTAGTTAAATAACTGCCGGAGACAGTAATTTAGCTGTTAATTGACTTTTTTTTTCGTCAAAAATATTTTAATTAATATTATTGTATTCGTTGCTAAATTACTGTCTCCAGCAGTTATTTAACTGTTGGAGACAGTGATTTAACTGTTAATTGACTTTTTTATTCATAAAAAAAATATTTTTAATTGATATTACTGTATTCATTTGCTAAATTACTGTCTCCAGCAGTTATTTAACTGTCGGAGACAGTAATTTAACTGCTAATTGACTTTTTTTTCATTCTTTTCTTAAAAAAAATATTTTAATTAATAGTACTGCCTTAGATGCTAAATTACTGTCTTCAACAGTAATTTAACTGTCTTAGACAATAATATTAATAATATTACTGTTCGGAAAAATAATATTCATAATATTACTGTTCGGAAAAATAATATTCATAATATTACTGTCCCAAACAGTAATATTACTGTCTGAGACAGTAATTTAGTAGCTAAAACAGTAATATTAATTAAAATATTTTTTTCTTCTAAGAAAAAAAAAAAAAAAGTCAACGCCGGAGACCGGCGGTCAACGCCGGAATCTGGCCGGAAAAAAATATTTCAGAAAAAAAATTATTTTCTGAAAAAAAAAAAGTTTTGGGGGTTAATGTGATATATTTGTTTAAATACGGGGTCAATGTGTAATATTAAGGAAGTTAGAGCATAATGGGTGGAATTGATAAGAATTA